CGGAGCAGCCGGGCTCGCGGAGCCCGCCGGGCGGGGAAGGGCCAGGCTCTCGAGAGGCGTGCTGGAGGTTGCTGGTCTCCGGGGAAGACATCTTTAGGGGAGTGCTGAGCGGGCTGGGGCTTCGGGGGTGGATTGATGGGGAGCGAGGGCGAATGAGGAGGTTTGCCAGGCGCGGGATGGTGCTTGCAGATCTCTCACGCCGCTGGTCACCGGGTTCTGGAGTGAGCGTGAGTGCCCGGGTTTGCCGGAGACTGCCCTGTTAAATTGAGGTGCAGATATGCAGAGACCCCGCTCCCGCCCTCCAGTTTCGCAAAGGGAAGGGACCCTTTCCTCCTGTTGGTGGGGAGGCTTTTGTTGGCAGAGCCAGAGCTGGAAGTACCAAGTGCGTTAGTCCTTACACTGACCAAGATTTTAATATATTAGTTCATTTACAGTCCTCGGAAGATAACTGAGTCTTAATTTTTTTATGACTTCATATGAGCATATCCAAATAGAAATAGTGCAAAGTCTGTGATTATATTAAGTGGCTGGTGTGCTTTTCCATTGTAAACTATACAGCATGTGGGATCTATGGGTCAAAGTCAGCTTCACTCATGGAGGAGTATGGATATGATCCATAATTTTAGATTACTCACTACCTTTAGTATTGAAAAAGGCAGTAGTTTATTCCATAATTCTTTTGGAGAAGGAAGAGGGTTTGAAATGAAGACCTAATGTTTAAGGAATACAGATGTTAAAAAGTGAAAGACATGTAGGTGCCCGGTAAATCCTGTTGAGTAAATTGGGTAAGTGGGATGATAAGTGAGATTATTTGGTAAATCATGTGAAATTTAGAATTTATGAGAGAGAAAAAAGAAAATAGTGTCTTGGAAAGGATAGTAGGCCTAGCATTGGAATTCGAACCTACTTTTAAATCTAAAATACTTAACCACCTTTTAAATGAAATGAATACAGTACTAATGATGCTGATCGTAAATTACAAAGATGACCTTCTTAGAAGCCTTTAAAAACATGGACCTGACCAAAGCCAAAAACAAGTTAACAGAACAAGAAATAGCTTCAAGAAATAATTTACAATCTTTGCTTATTTGTAGCTATACGTAGAAGAAATGCAGAAAATACAAAGAAGTAATTTGTGATCTTTATTTACACAATTAGAACGCAAGCTCTGAAAGTCTTACTGTGTCGGTATTTTAGTAGCATTGGTGGGCTCAGTAGTGCGCACATTATCTTCCCTGGACATTGTCCCCATCCCCCCAGAAGTTCAGTTTTATACAGACACAAAGTAACTCTGCGTTGATTCTTCTTCAGAGGTTATTGCAGGCTGCTCTTATTTTACTTCTCTTGAATCTTTCTTTTTTCATAATTTAAAAGTCTGTCCTGGGGGTGGGGGATATAGCTCAGTGGCACAAGTGCCTGCCTGGCAAGCACAAGGTCCTGAGTTTGATTCCTGGTACCGCCCCCCCACCCCCCCAAAAAAAGTCCGTTGTCGGAGTGAAACGTTCTCTCTTCCTTCTTGTTTAGTACATTCAATGGGATTCATGGAGTGCTGACAGTGTCTTTGCCTTAATAATATTTAATCAGTTTTATTCTTTAAACTTTAGAACATTTTGGTTCAGTGACTTTCACTGTCCAAAAATTTTTTTCTTTCTGTCAATATTGTAGTCAGAGGCTTTACCTAAAACTACCAAGTTTTCCTGCTCTAGCTCTTGAAATGGTGTTTCCCAGTGTCTGTTTCTTAAATGATTTGTTGGTTGTGTATTATTTTCCAGCGATGTTTATTTAGACTTACGCTGAATAGGCTAATTGTAGAAACATATTAAATGCATATGTAGCTAGTAAAAATTAGATTTCCAATTTTTATGAATGAAAACAAATTTTCAGAAGTGGTCTTTCAAGTAAGTAGCGCATGTGCCAGAAGGTTGTGTAAAAAAGATGTTCGCTGCTCTTTTTGTTATGGTTCAGGACAACAGTTTTGGCTGGTTTCTGACAGTTTCCCCCTCACTGCCACGTGTAAAGATAATGGAGTAAATCAGAGCTGTCATGTTGTGTGCAGTAGGTAGCTTTGTAATGAGCCTGTTTTTAGTATTCATGTGCCACTGTTTTATTGTCTGTGAAACAGGATGATGAAATTGCCTCAGATTTATGAGGACGAAGGTATGTAAAATGCCTAATATATTGTATAAGCACCCAGTATTACCTTAGAAATAAATAATCTTCTTCCCTCGTTTTCCTTAAGAGCCTTCAGGCACCTTGTATGTACTGGACTACAGCGCATTCTGCTTCATACTGCTTGATTTTGTTTTGTTTTTCATTGTGGACTTCCTCTTAAAGGGCAAGGCTACTTGGTGTTTACCAGTGAGTTTGATACCATTTGTCCTACTCTGTTTGGGCAGTTACATAAAATACCTGAGACTGGGTGGTTTACAGAAAGAGGACAGAGAAAACTTAACTGATAGTTATTTCTTACAGTTCTGGAGGATGAGAAGTTAAAGGTCAGGGTGCTGGCAAAGTGGTGGATGTCTGTCGAGGGTCTGCTTCTTGGTCTTGGTTACCTTTTACCTTAACCTTATGTCTTGAGAGGGTAGAGGAGTTTCTGTTGGGTCTTATTTATAAGGGCAGTAATTACATTCAAAAGAGCAGGTTCTCCCTAAGCCCCACCTCCTAATATTTTCATCACCTTAGGGTTATTGTTAGGCTTCAGCATAGAAATTTTGATTGGACACTTTCAAACCATAGCATTGGAGTATGCTTGAACTAATTATCAGTAAGTTAGCAAGAAATCAACTGACATTTACTGGGTATTTATTGTGGCTACTGTGAGTTGAGCTAGATTATCTGGAACAAAAAAAAAACAATGTCTTTTGGAAGTTGGTCCACATAACACCATTTTTTATGTCACGTAGTAACAAGTATTAGGAGAGAAGTAGGTAGGAAGTCTTCCCATCCACCTTCGTGGAGGTATTTTAGTGTTTTCCACAGTATTAACAGAAGAGAATCTTCACGAATTGCCACCAGTGGATCTTTTTTCTTTTAATCAAGGAAATGGAGTAAAGTTATACTGAGTAGGAAGAACTAATCTTCCAGAAACATATCCACATATGAAATGTTTGAAATAAAGATACTATACGAGTAAGTTCTTTATATAGAAAACAAAACGATTTACTAGTAAATACACTGAATTTCTTTGCCAGCTTTTATTTTTCTCTCAAAAGTGTCACTTAAACGTTTTGATCTGTTATCTCAAGCCAGTGAATTCTAATATGGGTAATAATTTGGAAAGCTCATTCTGAGAATGAAATAAAGGTACTATTTTTCCTTAAGACTGCTCTTTGCACATCGGATTTATCTAGAAGTTGGTGGTTAGCGTTTGACTGTAGTTTTTGTTGTGATTTACACCTCTGCAGTTGTTCATACAAATGTAAGTGCTTCAGAGCTTCAACAGTTTGAGTGCACAGAAGCCCAAGGACAATGGAGGTGGAGGAGGAGCACACTCATTTTGGTGTCAGAACATCTTGGGCTCACCCTTCTCCTCTAGCTTCCTAACTAGCTGGTCTGGGTAGCAGGTCACTTAGCTTTTCATGTCTTTGTTTTGTCAAAGGAAGATGATACTTGCTTTAAGAGGATTATACTTCTCAAATGTGATTTTGATTTTCTTTCTAAAAAATGTACAGTATTATTAGTACTGTGTGGAATGACCTTTTAACTGATTTAATGACTTGCCCCTGAAAACAGATTGGCTTGTGGTAGACAGGCAGTTGGAACCTTGGTAAATTTTTATGCTTTTTTCTGTTAACATTTTAAATTGGTTTTAGAAGTATGATTTTTGGAAATTTATAGTGTATAAATATGTGAGTTTATTTTAAGTTTGGTAACTACACATGAACAGTAGATATTAGTTTTGCTGTTGAGTATTGATACCAATTCTTTTTGTAATTTGTTCAACTTGACCTCTTGTGTTAATTTGATGAATGACAAGTGAATCATAAAATTTAACCACTTAAATCGTAAGATTTAAAGTAGAAAAGCTTTTAG